ATAGCTGGACTCAGCTGCTAATTAGAAAAGCTGCTAGGGGTAGGTGTGTTTTGAGCCCGCTGTCCCTCGGGTCGATCTTACCAGCTTTTAGACTTGGCGGCTCTGGAGCTCCATTGCAGCTGCACCTCTGCTGGTGGGGCCTCCTGACACTGCTGTTCCCGGCGGTTTTTGCATGTCCAGAACAGGCCAGAGGAGGAAAAGCACGTGATTAAAAGCTCAGCAGGTGTTTGATCAGATGTAACCTCTGTTCCTGAGGGTGGGTGCCTTCACGCTGGTGGCCTGAGGTGGGTCTGGGGAGGGGGCACCGGGGCACATGGGATCTGCGCTCCTCCCCGAGGAGAAGCTCTCACCTTGCAGACCCCGCCCCAGCCCGCCCCGAACCAGGAAGCCAGTGGGATCCGAGGTAATCAGCTCCATGTGGTAGCATAATTTGTAAGTTTGGTTCCAGGGGAGAGTGGCGCTGCTATGGGCCATGCTGCTCCTGTCACAGCGTGTCCTGAGCGGGCTCCCTCCAGAGCCTCCCAGCCTCTGATCAGCTCTGGCTGGACAGGATGGAAAAGTACTGACTGGCTGGTTTTAATTTGTGAATCCCGAGAGAAGTTGGGAAGACCTGAAACCTGTAAACGTGTGTGGTCTCTGCAGGAAACCCTAAAGTCATCTGAGGGCCATGAGCCCTTTTTAGGCCCCTGGCGTCCCCTGGCCGGCCTGTGACTCCGGCTTGTGCTCTGGCGCCACTGTCAGAGCTGGTTCCGTTGGCTGTTGGCTGCAGATGTGACCGTCGGCTCTGACGCTGATGACCGCAGAAGCTGCATCAGGCTTGACTTCCTGTTCCACACCTTCCACGCGACTGAGTTTAGCGTGAGAGTCTCAGCACACACCTGGGCGTTCTCTTTCTCTCTGGTTTAGCTGACTTCTCGGGCTTGAAACGGCCTTTCAGTGGCAGGTGGTGGGAATAGCTGCCTGCTGCTTCAGCCCTTCCTGGTTAGTGGGCAGGTTGCAAGAGACGGAGGAGGCGGCGGTCCTGCTGCCGCTGCCTTGCCCCTTGCTCTGGAGGCCCCCCCAGGAGGGGCGTTGCCAGGCGGGTCCCTGCACTCACTCTCGCGTTTGCCCCTGCAGTGAACTTCGAGGCCCTGATCGTCACCATGTCGGTGATTGGGGGGACCATCCTCCTGGGCGTCGCCGTCTGCTGCTGCTGCTGCTGCTGCAGAAGGAAGAGGAGCCGGGGGCCCGACAAGAGCGAGGAGAAGGCCATGCGGGAGCGAGAGGAAAGGCGGGTCCGGCAGGAGGAGAGGTGAGGTGGCGTTGGGGAGGCGTGGGGAGTGACGCTTCTGTGCCCCAGGTTTCCTCACGTGCGACATGCAGGCATGTTGAGTGTCTGTGGGGTTTTCTTGGTTGTGGCCTGAAGGATGGGGAACCGGGTGCGGGGGGCCTGGCCGGTGGCCACCCCCCGGTGTTTGGGGGCTGGCAGGATGTTGCCATTGACGGCTAGTGGCTGCGGGGTCTACTGAAGCAAGTGGCAAGGCTCTGACGGCCCATCCAGCGCTGTGTGAGCGGGGGCCCCGAGGCGGAGGAAAGCTTTGGACCGAGGTCCCCTGCCTGCCTGAGATCTCTGGGGACGGGGACCCTGGAGTTGGGCCTCTCGTGTTGCCAGTGCTCTGACAGACACGTTCCTGGTCATGGGGCGCTTGGGTGGGGGTGTGCAGGGGGCGCTGGGTGTGCAGTGCGGCCCCAGGACTGCCCTTGGTGGCAGGGGAGGCGGGGATCACCCTGCCTGAGGAGGGGCCGGGCTACAGTGGGGGGAGGTGCTGACCTCACGCCGCTGGCGAGGGCTGGGGCCGGAGAGGTGTCCACGCTGTCACTGACAGCCACCTGCCCCCGTCTTCCAAACCAGGCATGAGGTTTTTGCTGATTGGTTTGTTTTCTTTACATGAAAAAAAAATTTACAAATCTCAGTACAGGGTGTTTGCATTGCTTTTATTGAAATGAAGACTCAAAGGAGGTGACCCTGGAGCAGCCTCCAGAGTCTGCTCGTCCCCGTGGGAGGGTGGCCATGGCCGAGCCGTCCCTGTCTTACCAAGCGAGCCCACAGCCAATGCCGAAGGGAGTGAGGGGCACGGCTGTTCACATTACACTGTGTTTTGATGCTGGATGAGATTTCTTTTTGTTTTTTTAGGAGAGCAGAGATGAAGTCAAGACATGATGAAATCAGAAGGAAATATGGTAAGACTCTCCATCTCAGCCGGCAGGAAGTGGGGTCTGGCCACCTAGGCTGTTTTAAATGTCCATGGGGTCTGCTGTGGGGTGTGGGCTGCAGACCCGGCCCTGCAAACAGAAGGTCCCCACCAGGAGAAGTAGCTGCCTTTTGTCCCAAGTGGCGCCACGGTCCACCGGGCGTCTTGTGAGATGGAGCCTTCGAGCATCTCTCCCTAAGCCAGCCTTCCTGGCCCTCGTCTGCTCCTGAAGTGTTGGGGTTCACGGCGGCCCGCTAGCACCTGACTTCCACCCGCCGTGGTTGCGGCCCTTTCTTGAAGGGCAGCCACCCTGAGTCCGCGCTGCCTCGGTTTCCGGGAGCTAGTCCCGGTTTTGTTTTGTTGTTTCTTTGGGGAGAGGGAGTGTTTTCTCAGTGTTTAGTTGGTTCTGTACTGATTTTTGGCGTGTTCTGCTCCCCGGCGCTTGGTTTCCCATGAAATTGAAATCACAGAAAGGAGCTTTTGGCATCTGATTAACATTAACATAAATAAAAGGCGAGGTGAATGTGTGCTTGTGTGTGTGCACACACACACTTGAACACAGAACAGAGTGTCTTTCCCTGCCAAGCACAGCACGGTGCCGCCCCAGGCCTTTGCCTGACGAGGCCTGGCCAGGGAGAAGGCCTTTCTGTAACCATTGCCGAATGGCTTTATCCCTGTCGTGAAGATGGTCAGTTTGGCCTCTGATTGCACTGATGGGATTAACTTGTGCCCATCGAATGGTCTGGACTGTGGGGAGCCCGGAGTTCTGGGGGAGGTAGGAGGGCACGTGAGGGCACCTGGTTTGTGTAACACACGGAGCACAGCGCAGATGGAACCCTCTCCTGGTCTTTAGAAGGCATTTGGTTTCCTAGTCACGGCGCAGTTTATGTCTCTTTTTCCCTCTAAACCAGAAGTCGAGCCAGGAGCTAGGTCCCCCCACCCCCCGTGGCAGGATCTTAACAGGACAGCTTGCATTTGATACTTGGCAGTGGTAGTTCTTTGCCCAGAACCCACAGTGTGCCTCCCCCTGGGCTGAGGCCCGCCCTCTTCCTCTGACTGGTGGGCACCGTCCCCTTTGCACCTACCTTTTCCCCATCCCCCCCCCAAAAAACCCATGGTAAGTAGGTTTGTTGCTCCTGATGTGCTGGGTTCATGGTACAGATTTTTAAAGAGACGAAGAGAGTGTGTGTCCATAATTAAGAGAAAACTCCTGGTTTCTCCGTGTTTAGCACCTTCACACTTAAGTCGATGGCACCTTGTTTTTGTGACCTTACTTCTGAAACTTAGTGAGCATTTTTAAGCATATTTAAATTGAAGCGATTTTGTTCTGTTTTTTTTTCTGCATGAGCCAACCACTGAGGGAAAAGATAGTGGCTTTAAATTTCTTAATTTCTCTTTGAGAGAATCGGCAAACAAGGCTCTGTTTCTTAATGATCTATTTTTCTTAGAAGTTTTTGTTTCCAGTAAATTTCACTTCAGTTTTAAAGTCACCTGTGGTTTGACTTTCAAAAAGGTTAAGGTAGCACTTGAACCTGCGAAGTCCTGCTTTTGATCTCCGTGACGCTTCAGATAAACTTTACGTGTTGCTCTGACTTGTGTGTCCTGCTGCCTCCGTGCCTTTGTAATCAGGCCTGTTCTGTTTCCAGGTTTGTTTAAAGAAGAAAACCCGTACGCGAGATTCGAGAACAACTAGACGCAGTTCCTGCGCGTCCAGTGGCCTCGGCGCCTCTCCCGGGGCTGCCGCCCTGGCCCCTGGCTGAGGGGCCGTCAGAAGCCGCGCTCCCGGCACAGGCCTGTGAGCTTCTGTCCCTTTTCTCTTGTTTCTCTGCTTAGTCCCTGAGACAGGAAGCCTGTCACGGTTTTCTTTGTTGTTTGGTTGTTGACTTGAGGAGGAAGCCTGCACATTCCATCCAGCCCTGTAACCCGTCTGGTCTGCGAGCTGCGTGCAGACCCCCTCCCCTCCGTCCCCCGCCCCGCATGCAGCTCAGCAGGAGGGAGAGCGTGTCCATGTCCTCGTGGGACCCTTGTTTCCCCAGAACCACAGACGGCTTTCCATGGACCCGGGTCCCAGGACACAGCCTGACGCTGCTTGGCCGCGGCCACACCAAGTAGCATTGAAATTTCTTTTTTGAGTAATTGTTGGATTTTATTGTCCCACCTAAAAGATTCCATCAGAAAACTTTACTAGCAAAGTTCGGACCACATACGGGATGGCTTTTTAATTTGTATCTTTCCTGGAACATCAAGTGTGAAACAGCCTCTCCGAGGGCGGTACTCGGGGATCATAGCTCCGGCCCCACTGACAGCAGGGCAGTCCCGCGCCCTTACAAGTGCTCCCTGAGTCTTGGGCCCGCCCTGCCTGCCTGCCACGGTCACTTAGGGATGGTGGGTGACCGCAGGTCCGCCTTGGGAGGAAGGGGCCGCGCGCTGGCCACCTTCTCCGCTGGGCTCTGTGCCCTGGGGGCGGCGTGTGCCGGGCGGTGGGACGGTCCCCACGCAGCACAGGGGGTGCCGGCACCTGTCCCGCTTGTCAGACGACCCAGCTCCCAGCCTCGCCCCTTGTCTCGGGCACATTCGAGAAGCCCCTTCAGAGGCAGCTTCTTGAGAGGGCTCGGGGCCTGTCCGATGCCTGGGTGCTGCATGCAGTGGTTCCACCTCCTCCAGGTCAAGGTGCGAGACTTGAGTTAGTAGTCCGAGTGCCCTGGTGGGGACAGCAGGCCGTGAGGTCACCGTGAGCTGCCTTTGTTGAAAGAGACCTGAAAATAGTCCCAGTTGCCCAACTGCTTTGACTTAGAGAAACCCTGAGCTTTGGAAGGTGGGAGGCTGGTGTCCGCCCTTCACTCCGGGTCACAAGTTAGAGTCCGATGAGCCTACACGGCCACCGCGGTAAGAGCGTCAACAGACAGCTGGGCGGCCGGCTGTCCACGATGCAGCTCTGCGTCTCAATGAACGGTTCTGCCCTCAGGCCTTCACCAACTGAGAAACAACCTTAGCAAACTCTTCAGTCTACTTCTCTGCCTTCTCGGGCATCTGATAGCGACTTAGAGTGTGAAACGTGGCTGCGTGTTTTATAGCAGCCTGCAGATTTTTACTTTCTACTCTTTGTTTATAAAAAAATTTGTGGTAGACTCCACTGAGCTCGATATTAGCATGGTAGTTTCTGGAAAATTGCTCTTCCTTGGCCCTTGGCGGCTGGGCTGAGAGCAGGGCCGTGAGTCGGGAAGTAGGACGGAGCCCCTGGCCCGGGCAGTGGCGTCTCGGCCGTGCGCTCCGACTCAGGTGTGCTGGGAGAAGCCACGTGCTGTAGCCTCAGGGGGACCGTAACGTCTGAGTGCCTTAATCACTAACCAGTTTCCAGTCAAGGCTTTAATACACGCTTTTATTGAATATGCTTTGTGTTCCCTGTGTTTCATTTCTGGCTGGTGTGAGCATGATTCCTGGGGGGACGAGGACGGTGAGGCTGTCGAGGTGAAGATGGGCACCGTGGGCCATGTGAGCACATCCCACTTTGTACCCCGGCTGCGCCGTGTGCTGAACTGTCCCTGGCCTGGCGCCCCCACCCCAGGGTCTCAGTACCTGGTCCTGAGGAGCGGTCTCCCCTCTTCTGAGGTGCTGCTGAGCCGTTTTTCTAGTGCCTCAGTCACCAGGACTCTGGACTCCACTGTCCTGCAGGTCAGCCTGTCCATCCGTGGTCCCCGTGGGAAGTGCGGCATGACGCAGCGGAAGGTCAAGTTCATGGGCAGGTCAGCCCCAGGCTTTTCGTTCTAGAGTGTTGAGTGATACAGGCTACATCTAGCGTGGATGGGGCAGAGGCAGAGTGAGGTTGTGTCTCGACCTCCGGACCCAGGCAGAGGTGGCCTTGTGCCTGGCATGGCCTCGTTGGAAACTTAAAGTGCCCTGGATTCAGTTAAGAAGTTTGCAGTCTGATTATGGTGAGGTCTCTGCTCTGAAAGGAAGGGATGCTGAACAAAGTACTTGTTGCAGCGTCTGCTCCTTAGGACAAGTCACTTTGTGCAGGGTTAAAAAGCCCTGCACTCGACCTGATGGGTACACAGTGGCCACGTTCCCGTGACCTGGTTCTCGGCATCCTTGGGCTCATCTGTGTCTCGGCCTCCTGGTCCGCTCTGTTAGTGCTACGTAGAATTCTGGGTCAGAGCATCCGTGATGTCTGCTTTACGTATATGCAGCCTCTGCCAGATTCCCCCCTGAGGGGCATCTGCCTGGAGGGGGTCTATGATGCTTCTCGAGACAGGGCAGAGGGACGGGGCCCCCTGTGATTTTGCCAACATCTTGACTTAGCAAGTTATTCTGAGGAGACAGTTCTCAAGGACCGTCCCAGCCGGAGCAGCAGATCCGTGTGTGGTCCAGGAGGATGGCAGCCTGGGTGCGGGCCCGGGTGCAGAGATGGCAGGAGGGCGGGCTCTCGGGGAAGGCGACTCCAGCCTGCTGCCGCAGTTCCTGAGGAACGAGGCTAGCAGGCGGGTGGGACGGCCTGGTCGCCCGTGTGGGGGTCCCAAGCCCCCCATCCTCGTCCTGTTCTAGGTCCCCTGCTGGTCCTACTCTCCGCCGTGCTGTGCGGTGTGGGTCACAGGCCCTGCTGATCGCATCCTGGCCT